TTTATCAATGTTAGTCAAGCAAGTCTCAAGTCCAGAACTATGCGACTCGAGTCTGAGTCCCCACCTCTGCCTGAGACACAGTTTCGTGAATATTGTTGTGTTATGCCCCCGCCCCTGGGGTCATGGCGTTTAACAGGTTAAAGGTCAGACCAACCTTAGCATAAGCCATTGTTTTGTAACTGCTACCTGTGACATGCAAACAATTGAGTCATCTCTTCAAGTAAGGTATCAAATAGTACTTAAAAAAAACAAAAAATGGTATATCATTTACTGAAGATCAACTAGCTACACAATTAAAGATTATTTCGTCTTTCCTAGATATTATTATATATCTATATCTGACAGGTTCAGGAGTCAAGATGTAACTACATGCAGACGACCAGAAATCTTCATACTGTTATGACTATGTACACAGAGACATAAATGCCATATCGGGAAAATGATCAAAACCAGGATAAGACTAAAAACGAATGCATGTAAATGTTCTTGTTTTACAGTTCACGTATAATGAAAACTGGGCCAGCAGTTTTTCCTTTTGCTTCTGACAGACAAAAACAAAAACATTGCCCCTTTGGCGGAAGCAATAAATGTTTTGTTTTTTTCAAACACATTGAAATGTGTGTAAATAAAACTTGTTTATCATGTCTGACGTGCTGTTCCCTTGCATGGTTAATGTAGGACCCCCCAGTTGCTCCTATCAAGCCTCCATCTCCCTTTCTTACAATCTTTTGTGTAGACAAACACACAAAGTAGTCTGTCTGGCTGTTCAAATTGAATATGTAAGGATGCTAAACCCCAAATTAAACATCTAAACTTGTAGATTGTATTATCACGAATTGACATCAAATTAGTGGCTTGCCGGCTAATAAGATTATCAGGAATAAAGCGCTGTGTGAGATCTGCATTGTGTGCTGCAACACACACACACACACACACACACACACACACACACACACACACACACACACACACACACACACACACACACACACACACACACACACATTAAGCCTGATTCTGTAATGTGAGGCTCACTGTACAGACAAAGGCATGCAGAGGCAAGCACCTATATCGGCTGGGTTCACACTGACATACAGTGCTGTGAATTAAGAAAGCTTAGTGGATATGGTTGGAAGCGCTGCCAGTGCATTTCTCAAATAAGTCGCAACCTTTTGGTGGCATAACATCAATCTGCGGTTCGTTGGCAGGTGCCAGAAACTTGCAAAGCAGAGGGAAGGATTAGTACAGCAAACATGAGTAATCCCTCTTACAACTGTGCAAGCAAGATATCTAAAACACACAAACAAGACGCAGACGATGCCTCAACGGAGAACTGCATGCACAAGCAAACAGACATGCGTCATTCCTGATCTTAAAGATTGTAACGCTGTGTCAAAGTCTGGCTTTTTACATTTTCTAAAATCCCTTTCCTGTGAAAAGCAAAGAGTCAGGAGAGCAGAGGCGTTGTATGTTTGTGTTCTTCTCAACATTGAGAAGAACAGACTGTCGGGGTGTAAAGGTATCCGTATTCGTCCCGAACCGTGACGGTTCGGCACATGCAGTCACACGACGAATACGCCTTTTTTATCAGTGGGGAAAAAGTCTGTCATTCAGGGCAGTATCCATTACACTATATATATAATCCAGGGGGCGGTATTGCGCCTAAAAGCTGTTTGCCAGCCGCCCTTAAACAACAAATGAAGAACAAGAAGAAACACAACAACAAAACGAACAAAATGCAAGAAGAAAAGTTAGTGTTGCGATTTAAGATAACACACAGGAGCTAGAACCCACCTGCTTCGTTTAAATCAGCTGTGTGGGAACATTTCGGGTTCCCTGTGGACTACAATAACGATGAAGTGTGCGAGTGGTGGATCGGACGAGTGGTGGATCGGACGAGGACGGTGTGTCGGCGTTGTTCTACAGCGGTGCGGTATGCTAATGGTAACACACGCCAAACATGCTAAATCATATCAGAAGGCATCACCCAGATTTGCCAATCACCGGAGCCCGGCAAAAGACAACAGCAGTTCAACAGCTGATCCCCGCTGTTTTTAAGAAGCCAATAGGCATGAAAGCGGTGAGACCAACATAAATAACGGAAGCTATTGACATATATCTTTTAATTGCTATGCGCCCTTGAAACACTTTCTTATAATTTATTTTGTAATATTTTCAAGACATTTCTTTCTTTCTTTCTTTCTTTCTTTCAGTCTTTATTTCGAACAGATTAAAAAATAACAAATGTGAAAAACAGAATACCGTATTGTTATAATACAGTATTTATCCACATTCATGGTAATATTTGTATATTCAACAAAAAAACAAAAAATGTCTTCATATTAATAATAATAATAAATCATATGTGTCTGAAAGGAAGCAGGAGGAAGCAAATGCTTATTAATTCCTACCCCTTACTTGATCAATGATTGTCCTTTAAATCATTATGCAAGTTATTCCTACCTACATTTACATTTATACATACATATACAATCATTTCTCATTCTTTTTAGTTTTACAGCTTGATGAAACCTTTTTGTTTGACATCAGCCATTATAGATAATATGGCCATCTGAGTGTGTGTTGTACTGTTTGTGGTTTGTTTTTAACTGTTTAATACAGTTAATTATTCAAAATGTCAGAGTTCCTTATTTGTATGCTGAAACTTCAAAAATAAATAACAATGTAATGTAAAACAGTAATGACATTTACATGTCTAATATGTGTAATATGTCATTGTAAAGCGCTTTGAGCACCTGTAAAAGCGCTCTAAATAAAAAATGTAATCCATTATTATTATTATTATTATTATTATTATTATTATTATTAACAAACCTGGAATTATGCATTTGGGACTTGTTTTTTCTTTTTCTTGTTGTACCGAACCCGTACCGAACCGTGAATTCTGTGAACCGTTACACCCCTAACAGACTGTGGGAATAAAAAATGTTTTGGACACAAACAGACCGCTCCGAGGCCAAAACAGAACATATGTGTCCCCTTTTGGTAGCTTAGCCTAATATACATAATGCCATACTAGCACAACAACCCCCACCAATAATTCCCTAAGCAATCTCTCCTTTGATCCCCTAAAGCTGGTTAAGAGGGGAAAGGAGGGTGTTGGTCAAAGATGGTTGACCTCTGCAGACATTCAAAAGTGTGTGAACCAAAGCACACTATGGGCCAAAGTGAGATAAAAGGATAATATTTAGTATTTTTTATATATAAACATTTTATATATAACAATACAGCAGATGCTAAACAATGTGCTGTAAGCTCACTAATCCCTTCCTGCTCCAAAGCATATCAAAACGAGATTGGTATTAAGAATAAAATTGCTTTGATATTACAATGTGTAGATGTAGTGCCTTGAATCATCTTGTATTACAATTTTCTCAGAGTTCTGATGGATATGGCTGCATGCAGTTATGGTTGTGTGTTTTAACTCACTAGAAAACCGCTGTATTCACTACAATGTTGCATCTGTGGGAAGAGTGATCTGATTCAGTCCACATAGACACCAGGACAGCTGCAGTGTTCACTAGCTTAACTATGCTAAACTAGCACACACACGGACACTGAATGCCTCACAGAGTCTATATTCATGATATTTAAACGTTTGCACAGATCTACACACTCATCCCCCCCATCTAGGGCTGTATAATTTGGAGAAAAAAATACCCTTTTGCAATTATTTTGCCAATTATTGCAAGATATGATTTACGATACTGGAAGGGTTGGTCATTTCGCATTCTTCCATTCTTGTTACCATTCAATAATTGTGGTAAAATGATCATGTTAAGATTGTGTAAGAGGATTTTTCAAGCTTTTAGAATACGACTTTTTTTTTTCAGGGTCCTGGGGAGATGGAATTGATTTAGGCAAAGACTGTGAAAGAGCAGGGCTGTATGGTGTTTAAAATATTTGTTAACTATTACTGGTTAAGAAACATGTACAATTTGTAAGCATTGAGCTAATGTCGGACTGGCCAAGTGTTCTTTTTAAATCGAGAAAACTTTTGCTGCCTCTTTTCCCTCTTTATCTTTGCCACATTTCCCTTCTGCCTCATGAGTATGCTACCAAAACAGACTTTAAAAAGGCAAGAACATTGACTGCAAAGTGAAATTGCTGACCCGTTCCAGGCCAAAAGAACAACGAGGTCCGTCCGTACATCACGGGGTTCGTGAGAGGACGTGGGGGGCAAAAGAGGTGGGAGGCAATAAAATGTCATGGTTCGCTTGTCATCCAGCCCATTCAGCAGCACCTCATCGATGACCTCATGGTTCTGCATTCAATAACTCAGCACACACAGGGGCCTTTTGTGTGTGGGTGTGAAGTGCGGTGTTGTGAGTATGTGGTGGTGAAGTGTAAAAGAGCTGGAGCGTTTAGAAAGATCTATACCAAATTATATTTACACATTAGGTATTTTCTAACTTTTTACAGTAATAAAAGCACATGTGTTACTAATAACTGTTCAATATGCACAATCCAAGGATACTGAAGCAGATACATGGAATGGAATACAGCCACTATAACACCACTTTTAATACGTGAACTGACCTTAAAAAACACTAAAATATCATGAAGTCCCTGAGGTCCTAAGAAAACAGCTGCTTGGGAATGTAACCAACATTTTCTTTCCGTTTTTCGGGTAATGACACAAACATTCACACAAATGTTCATATCGAAAATCACAGCTGCAGTATTGTTGCTTAGGCTACTACCACAAAAATATACATGTATGCACATTTTCTACAACTTAAGTCTTAAGATACATATTTGTGCGCCGAGACCCTAATATACTTCTTACCTGGCCTTATCGCAAACAGTTCTCTTGGAAAACACCAGAACAGCCTTTCGTCATTTCACGCCCTTTAATTTTCCTCTGACAAGATCTATATTACCTGCTGAAACTGCCCATTGTTTATCCACCATTGATGTTTGTCTAAAGCTATGTTGCAGGGTCACTACGATAATAAACAAAGACTGTGAAGGTCTACCTCTTCGTCATCGCTGGGCAGGTGTTGGAAGTCAGGCTCTGAAGTGTCATTCAGCCTCTGGTATTCTGCCGTCTCCCCCATGGCGGGGCTCCAACACCCGGCCGGTATCTCCCCCCGGGGGTACGTGTCCTCAAAGTCCACGGAAAGCCACAGCTCCGCTCAGCGAGCCACCCACACACTCAGTCGGTCAGTCGGTCAGTCAGCCTGCTTCGAGGTGTGTGCTGTCGTTGGGAAGACAAGTACAGTGTTCTCCATGTCATTTACAAAACAGCACTCCCAATATTTCACAGAGCACAATATTTCGAATAAGCAGCCACTGATACCTCCGATACTACCACCATCATTGTCTTTTAGGAGTCATGAGAATGGGTGGACAATGAGTTCATCATATCCACACCGTGATAACTGAGCAGTCTGTTGCCTTTCTGTCTCGAAACAGCTTCTCCAAACAGTAACTCAGAATAAATACAGTCCCTATTTTTGCCTTGCTTCGACAGGATTCTTCCTCTTCTGTAATAAAAATAGGAGAAAAAATCTACTACTAAAAGATTGTACCGATTGTCCTTTTCACACGTGGGTGTCTTAAATCTTCTGGGAGCATGCAGGTGTTCAAGTGGTTGTTCCAAATTGATTTCCTGGCCGTTGTTGTCCTCCTGGACGAGGGAATCCCATGTGTCAGAGCCGCTGGATGGAGCGTTGGGATGATGCAGCCAAGGTGTGGCACAGGAGGTGAGAAATCTGGCAGGCTCTATTCCTGTCGTACCATCTAACGCCACTGTCATAACCTCTACCCTCAATCTGTCTCTCGCTCCGACTGCTCCTGTTCGCCCAGCCTTAGTGCTGACGCATGCTCTTTACATCCAGCAATATCGCACTCCCACTCCCTCTCTCTTTGTGTTTCTATTTCTGAGCCACAGACATCACACCGGCAGGTTTACCTCCTCTCTCTCATTGCTGGCAGTGAAATATCACAGCAACAGCTCGTACAGGAACTGTTTAGAAATGTTCACCTGTCATGTTTCATCCTTCCTTTGTGCGCTTCTATTATTTTTCTTTAGCAGCTGTCCAATCGTGGAGGATTCTTAACGCTGCTTTGTCCTAAATGGACTTCCTGATTGCTCGGTTGATGCCTAATCCCTGGCTGTTGTTGTTATTGTCCCCCTCCCTCCTCCTCACCCTCTAACCCGCTTTCCGCACGGCTCCACTATTTTTTCCATTTCAGCCTGATGATTTGGTGAGTGGTCGCCTCCACTATTACCGTGGCAACATCAACCCATCCCACCTCCCTCCCCGCTCTCCTGTGTCCTGTAGTCACGGCGATCCAGTCAGCCGTGGTCCTGGTGGAAGCGCCCAATGAGAGCGAGGCAGGCCGAATGGGGGAAGGGGGGGGGGAGCCCTAATGAGGAGGGTTAATCCTCCCTCTGAGAAAAACACGGACATGCTGCTTTGTGTGTGTGTGTGTGTGTGTGTGTGTGTGTGTGTGTGTGTGTGTGTGTGTGTGTGTGTGTGTGTGTGTGTGTGTGTGTGTGTGTGTGTGTGTGTGTGTGTGTGTGTGTCAAAAGCACCTCTCCACTAGAGGCAGGGTATAATGGCCATCTGGATCCTTGCTGAGTGGACATCTGGATGGAGGGGAAAATAGAATAAAAGCACAGTGTGTGTGTGCGTGTCTACCTCCCAGTCTTTCCCAAGTTGGATTGTGTAAATCAACATGAAAGATTGACTGATATTGCAACTGTGATATGATTAGCAAAATAATAATTTTTATAGAATGGTTTACGTCATGTTAAAATATTTTTAAGAGGATCTGTACGAAGGTTTTTTTATTATTTATGTAGAATACTGCTTGTAGGCCAGTACTTAACTGAAACACTACAATACATAATTCAGAATTATATTTTTCATTTACCAAATATTGCCATTTCTATAATCTAATACTACCTTTGCATTTCCGTTCCATGTTGCGAACCCTAGTCCTAACACAAATGCCAAATCTTCTAATCTAAATGACATCGTCTTTTCCATTCCTCAATCCATTTCATTCATCTCTCTTCCCATCCAAAGCACTCGCTATCTTTCCCTTTCCCTCCCTTCTCGTTTGTGCCTGTTCTCTTGTGCCCCCACCACCCTTTCTTCTTCTCTTCCCCTATCTCTTGCACTCTCTCTTTGACTCCATTCCAGTCCTGTTGATGTCCTCGGGCCGGTTATTCTCAGCCCGCTGAGCAACATTCGCTTTTTGCTCTCATTCCTTCGCCTCTCTTCTGTTGTTGGCTCAGCTCCTCTAGAGGCCGACTGACACGCGGGAGAGTGGCACGCAACATCCCACGGTAAATACAAAAACATGCACGCAGAAAATGGGAACACAGAAACACTGTGCCTGTATTTACGACCGGACATAAAGCTCAATGTATCCAAACATTTTGAGGGGATTGCCAGCAATTACAATTCCATCTGTCTTAAATGAGCCTCGCATGAACCAGTTATAGGCTGACCTCTCCTTTTGTACTCTCTGCCTTCATGGATATAGCTTTGATTTCTGGTCTCTGGGCTAAACTGTATCACAAGTGAATCCCAAATAAATCATCATTATGGTCAGCCTGGCCTCTCAAATCTCTGTTTGCAAAAGTCAAAGATTATAACTTACTGTGCAAGCTTCACCCAACAATATCGACTGCTCCAACCTCTCTGACGGGTTTTGTCAATCCATCCTTTACAGTTCATCCAAAGTTGGGATCAAGAAAGATGTGGAAGACACTTCATCAGGACTTGATACTTTACTTGATACTAGGAAAAGTCTATTGCAGTGCAAGAGAATCCAACTGCACTTACACTAGGTGAGATATTCATGACGTGCCAGCGGCTTTTATTAAAGGTGCGTTTGACCTGGGGAAACTACAATTTTCCGTACAGCTGACCGCAATAACCGCCTCTAGATATTTTGACCCATCCATTTTTTATGGTGTTGCTCTATGCGGGCTTTATAATCGTGAACAATATATAACTTCATTACCAAGGTTGGAATTGAAATAAATAAATGACATTTTAACTTAATGATTGCTCGCACTCACCCTCAATCTGCTGTCACAACGTATTAATCCAATCAGTAAGATTGTACGAAAATCAACCATGCAAACATGTTGAAATTTTTTTTAGATTTACACAACTCAGTAAACACCTTGAAATGTCGACTTTATTTGATCATTTTGTAGTAATAAGTGTTACGTTCAAATGTTGGCTATTTGTTTAATATAGTGTTGAAATGTAAAACATAGTACCCAAAGTGACGGCAGAAGTTACGGTTTTTGGTCAGTTGGTTGTTTCCCTGAACAGCCAAATGTGATAATTGATCCTGTGTATCTTAAACTCAATTAGATAATAAAGGAGACTGAGGCTCCTCTCCTTATCATCTAGAGAATTCAAACAGCTCTTATAATGGATGGAACGTAGGTACTTCCGGTTCATTTCCTTCTGTGAGGAACCTTCCAGAGCAAGATTGACAATTGGACTGCAACCAAAGTCTCCAGGTCCACTTTATCGGTAACAGTCAGACAGTATCAACAAACAATGACTCATCACACACGCGGTGGACACAATTAAAGCAACACCTGTAAACTATCACTGAATATGACCTCAATACTATACATAGTTACACACAAACCACAACAGTACATAATCTGGATTCAGTGTAAAATAAAAGTGTAAAATCTGAATGAAGAAGGAAGCTACACACAGTCAGATAGCAGAGAAATAGAAGAGAAGCAGGGGAGAAACCAAAGCCAGAGAGGGGACATCCTGGCCAATTGAGGCCATGATAAATGGAGCAGGGCTGAGCTGTGGTGTCATGTGGGGTTACTCTTTCCCCTCGCTCCCCCCCGATACAGTTAACACACTCCATTACTGACTGTATGGCAGCTTGGTAAGAGGGCAAGGCTGAATTGTTAACAACAATCATGTTATCTGTCGCTGCATTTTTCCATGCAATATGATTTACGCAAAGTGATTCAAAGGCAAACAAAAAGACAATAGCATGGTTACTCTATGTATGAAGTAAGGCCTTTGCCCAGTTTATATGTGTTTTAACCAGTGAGTTAAGATTAGCCATGGTCTACGCCAATTCCTTTAAGCATGATTTTTCCTGTCATTATTGGTGTATTGTTGATTTGATCCAATGTTGTTTTATATTAAACCATATTATATTATTGTTATTTATTCAAATAAATCTACTATGTACAAATATGTGTCCTAAGCCCTTTTTGTGTGATTGGATATGCTATATATCTTCTTCCTAATATTAAAGACATATTATAAGCAAACTTTATGCTCAGTTCATATATGTTATGTATTTTAGGTATTCAACCACAGCATCAAATCTTCCCAGAGATATAAGTTACTCAGAGTGAACCCCGCCCTTCACCTCTGACCTCTCTGCTCCCACTAGTCGTCACATTTCACGCCTTCTCCTCCAGAATCCTGGAAAACCCCTTTAATAACCAAATGCTGGGACTTTGACCGTTGACCCCAGAAGCTTCATTTGACAGCCATCAGGGGGACAATAAAGTTGAGCCTGTTAAAACGTGTGAACGCCTTCTCCGTCCCTGTGATGGAGAGCGAGGAGAAGCAGAGCAGACATACTGTGGGTGTAATGGTCCTGGGTTCCCGTTTAATGGCTCCCTTTAGGAGAGCGTTTAAGTCCTTAAAGACTAGAAGGACTGCAACTCCTGGGTCCCTCCCGTCTCTTTACGACTAACGGTGGGTAGACTGCAGACTCTGGGGGCAGGGGTAAGCTTTAGAACAGGAGCTGGATGTAATCCCTGATGTCTAGTGCTGATGTGGGACTCAGGGTGGAAATATAATCAGGGTAGGAACCGGACAGTACTGTATCTTTCTATCTGTGTGTGTGTATGTATGTGTGTGAGTATACGTCTGTGGAAAATAAAGCATTTACTATATATCCTCTTATAATATGAACGTATCAATAAAGATTTTCCCAAATTAATTTTGTCAAGAAAAAATTATATCAGAATTACAGAAACTCATGACTTCACGTTTATTTTCTTTTTTTCAACCAACAATCCAATTATATTTTTTGAAATATATATTCTTCCCCATTAAAAAGACAATATGATTGAATATTTGATTAAATAATCCATAGAGTAATACTGTAACAAGGACATCATTTGAAGTTGTAGAACTAACGTTATGAAATTGTATTTTTTATATAATA